TGAGAAATGCCTAACAAATACTATAAAAAGAAAAAATTATGCATACCACAGTCTTTTTAAAAAGACTTTAATAGTGGCAAGCAATATGTGTGATAAACAGTGTGCTTGTTAATCAGCACACGACTTTCTGGATGCCTGAGCGAAACCCTGACTAATTAACCAGAAAACATAGGCTTGTTATTCTTACTCTATAAAGAGCAGGACAACAAAAAATGATCCATTTCCTCTTGTAGTTCTAAATATAATGAGCGTTTATTATGCAATTTAAAAAAATGATAATACCATTTCAATGATCAAATTCATGTTTTAATTTGAGGCATTAGGGATAAGTGATGATTTTTTTTCACTCTTTTTTGTTATGTAATTTATGCATCTAGTTTAATCATTTTTCACATTTTGTTTTTTTTTTCTCCTCACAGTTCATCAGGTCAGTGTCTGCACCCTGCATCCTGTTACAACCACAGTTTCCTTATAAAAAATATTAGCAGGCGATGAACAGATTAGCTCTCACGTGCCAAGGCCTTTCCTGTTGTTTGGCTCTCTTGCCCTTTTCATCATCAGTGCTCTATCTAAGATTTTATTTGAAAACTATAAATTCCTTGAAAGCAGTCCAGAGGAGATGAATCAAAGTCTGAACCTAAGAGAAATCCTTGGAGTTCAGGATGATCTTAAACTGGAAGAAAACCACAAAAAAATACTTCTAAAGCAATTATATCAGTTAACTTGAGTGGGTATACTTTATATCTAGGTTAAACATAACTTACTGAACTGGATTTGATCATATTTGAAACATTTTACTTTCATAACTGACTAAAGGATTATGGTATGGATTATGTGGATTGAGGCTGTGAAGAGTTTATGTTTAAATGATGAAGAGCAAACATGATCATATCAGTGTAGAATAGCAAAGTTCAGTTCATCGGGGCCTAAAACACTCATTTATTGTTGACATATTTCACTCGACCTCTGGAGCAAAGAACAAAAATATTATCCAAAACAAATCTTCATCCGCATTCAGTGGCGTCAATTTAAAGTAAAATTCAACATCCCAGTTTCAGGATACATATCTGATATCTACTGAACTAATGCATTCAAGATTTGGTTGCATCCCCTGACATTTATTCATTGCTCTTTAATCTGGACTCAACTACAACTGCAAAGATGTGAATGAAGAAAAAACAACACAAAACTCATAAAATATTAAAACATTTATGATTTAAGTGGCTCTGTCTGAATCATCTCGTTTTCTGTTTTCTTCTATTAATATTTACAGCTCTTAAGTTGGAAATAAATATTTCATTCATTCATTCATACATCTTAATTTCAGAAGTTAGACGTCTTCACATCTATGAGTTGCAGTAGAGAAATCTCATCACAGAAGACTATAATTCATTCAACTAGTTTAACAAACCATGAATTTTCTTAACATAAAATGATTAATACCTAGCTGCTGAAATTAACTTTTCTACATGTTTTTTTAAATATAAAGATGTTTGCCTTCTTTTACTTCAGAGCTAAAATGGACCAAGCTGTATTAGAAATCTTGTTTTTGGGGCAGTAGAGGATCCTAGCTTTGCAGAAATAGAGCACCTCTAAGATGTAAAGCACATCTCAGAGCCATGCAGCTTTCCCTTTCATTTCTTTTCTCTCCCAAGGAACAATGTGCCATATAATCTCTACTTTTAGCCAAAACTCTGCAGGAATGCTTATGCATGCCTGTGCACCTCAGTCAGTCTCACAGTGGAACATGCTTAAATTTGTATGTTAAATAGTTTTATACACACCAGTTTCTGAGAAACTGTGCAAAGACAGAGTGGTTTTCATGGATGAAACAGACTTGTGAAAATTAGAAATTGATTAATAGGGATGTGTTGCATTAAGAAGATAAATCTGAGGATTCATTCTTAGAATGGCCTCTCTTGTTAATTAGCTGAGGAATGATTTGTGTCGAGCTGCCATTGTGTGCTGAAGGTGGACGCAGCGGGAGAAAAATGTGTAGTTTGTTAATGAAAAAGCAAATAAGTCATGAGGCACTACAGAGACCGTGAAAACACACATTCAATAACAAATCTGTTCCAACAGAAAATAAGTCAGGCTCCAGGCACAAGAAGCTGAGAGAATGACAAAGATTTTAAGACTTTAATAAGGAACATTATGGAAATGCATAATAAAGACTCATTTGTTATGCTATTTTCACTGGTGTTTGGTTGAATTCATTGATGGAGCAACTTTGAACATAAAAACATTACAATTTGGGTGCAAAGGGGCAAAAAAAATCTATAAAAGAAAGAAAGACAGAGCATTTGTTGCTTGCTGATGGCATTGTAGCAATATCCTCCCAGTTTCAATACATTTTTAATAATAAAAGTAGAACTTTCTGGGTCAATATCACGGACTGTATGGAGTTTTGTTTAGTCGGTGCTTACACCATGGGCCTTATGAAGCTCCACGTCACAGCTCCACGGTCCTGTTTCACATAACTACACTACTTATGGTGGAAAAAACACTTAAAATATTAAAAGTATTCTGCTCAATGAAATATTCCACACTAGTAATGTGGGGGGTAGTATCGATCCAACATACTGCCGTCAGAAACTTGAACCAAGATGCTTCTGTAAATTTCCCTCTAACATCTCAAAGCAGATATAATGCAATCTGTAACAAATTTACTCTAAGATTTTTTTATGTTTTATGTCAAAATAAAATGTGTTCTGTCAACTCATGGAGCATGATAAAAAAAAAATCTGTGTTTTTTGTTTGTTTGTTTGTTTCTGGACTTTTATATGTATAAAACTGAAAATATATGTTTTTAGAGGTTTGTTTATGCCAGCAGGATGTACAATAGTACATACAGTGTCCTTCACACTTATCAGAACTCCTGATGAAGATGTAGCGAGGCTTAAATTATATTTATCTTTTATTGCAGCAGCATAATCTTGCCCTGGAAATGTTGGAAAAGCTAAACCTTTAGTATGAGGACATATTTCAGTGTGGAAGCCTTCTGTTCTCTCGTTTCGGATCACTGGATGGCCCGTTCCAGCTGAGGACAAGTTTTGCCACACTAAACTGTCTGCCTGGGATTTTAGGTCAATACTTGGTTCAAAGTATTTGCACTATCTTTAATTAGAACCCATCTGATTAGCATAATAAGCATGAATTACTAAGCTTGTAATTTTTGGACCTTTTTTGTTAATACTGTTGGACACCCAGTAACTGAAATAGATTGTTGAAGTGCATGCTGGGTAACAGAATCAGCAGGGCTCCTCCACTCAGCTGCAACAAAAGGAGGGATCTTCATTGTCTTATTATAAATCCATGCATGGGTCATGTTGAATCAGAGCTGATTAGGACAGACTCAAATAGCTCCTGCTGTTCTTTAAATAATGCATGGTGTGGCTTTAGCGTAGCTGGCAGACAAAATGCAACATGTCATATCAGAATAAGAAAACATGCATGAGAGCACAGATGTGATATGTGAAGAACATTTGCACATTTTTCTGCATGTTTACTAATGATGATCCATGTACATAAATATCAGGAAAACATGAAAAATAATCACTTCTCAATTGAAATATTTCAATTTGAGGTTGAAATGTTACAATCAGGGCAATGAATGTTTTAGACAGAAGATGTGTTTAAATCCACAACAGCCAGGATCTAATGAAGCTAAAGATGCTCATTATTGCTGCATCAATCGCTTCTATTGGCTGCAAATCTGAGTTTAATTAGTTATTGAGTGTGATGGATAATGACAAGCGAAGGATGTTTCCGCTGCTCTCACACTCATATTGCTGTGCTGATGTCATAGGTGTGTTTACAAGCCAAAATGAATGCTAATATATTTATTTGTTTCCCAGGAGCAGATAATCAGTATTTCAGTGCGTTGAAGGTAAATCCCCATTACAGACAAAAAATGTAAAGAGGCCATTTAGTATTAGTTCAGGTTTCAGATTTGTGCATATTTTTAAAGAGAAACATAAAAGTTAATGAATAAGAGGAGCTATAGTTGTTGTTCTCTTAGATGCAATATATGTAAAAACAGAGTAAGAGATAAAGTTACATGACAACAAGAAACTATATCTGATAAAAAATTGGTTTATTGTGCTGCTACTGCATTAGTTTAGCATTTCAAATGGTGATCTACAGAAATGTGTTCTTAATCTCTGTGAACTGAACTGTAAAATGGTCCTGGTGAAGTTTAAATTGGGACGGACCTTCCTACAGAACAAGGTGACATTACATTCCTACAACCTGAATCACTATTCAAAAGAGGTACAAGTAAAAACCATAAAACAAACCCACTGACCTTTAGATTCTCAAGCACCAACAAATTGTTTTTTTAGTAAAAATTAGCAACAAAGAACTTCAGTAAACAGATTTGTCTTATGCAGGAACCCAAACCTTCAGGTTGTTAAACATCAGTGTAATCTGGGATATAATGTTCAGTAACTTGTCTTTTAAGTGAATAAATTAATTTAAATAACCTAAGCAGTGATATTCAGCGTATTTCACAGTTTGTAGGAATCTGCAGAAAATGCTTAAAAAAATCTTCAAAAATATGTATTTTTGCCTCAAATTTAATGATGCAAAACAAAGTATGAAGACAGTTTTGTTCTGTACCAACGATTACTTTTTGCCTTTTTATGTTCCAAACCTCACCTGGCGGCTGTCTTCCCCTTAATATGGTTCGAACACTTGTTGGGAAATAAATGTCACCACTGCTCTCCTGTGAGCCTGGCTGTCAGCTTTCTTGTGACAGTAAAAAGCAGTCAGTTCCTGGGCTCCGTGCCTCTCGCTCAGCTTGTAATTGCTTCATTAGAGCTTCTGCTGCATCTCTGCCTTGTAGCTTGGGAGATTTAATAAGAGCAGAAAAGCAGCTCGCAGACTCCTCTGTCTGGGCTGCTGGGTTATTGCTGTGGAATTTCTTATAACATGAAGACAGAAAGTCAAAGAACATCAAATTAAGTACACTCCTGGATCCCTTCACTTGAGCACAAGCAGCAAACAGAACTCTCTCAAAGCCGCTAAGCTAAAGATTTTATGCTGCTACCGAGACTGCAAAGCAAATCAAAAGAAAAATAGAAAAGAGGAAGATCCATGAAGCTATTTGCAAGAGATAAATGTTTGCAAACCTGGATTCTTGAGTGTTTCAAGTCAGATCTGCTCAGAAAATGTGTCTCCTAAGCAACCAGGTTTCACTCTGCACTGATGGAGAGTGCCCACTTTTTATATGAGCAGAAAAATAATGAGTCGGAATGTTAATGAAGTGATCTCACTTGTAGTGAAGCGGTCTGATATGTTTGCAAATACATTTCTATTCAAAAAAAAATGTCTAAATTGTGCTAAAAATTATTTTATTACTTATTTAAAATTCAGAAACCCATCGATTGTGGAACGTTCCAACGGATGCTGTCCATGCTGAGTTTCACAAGTAGAATTCAAATAAAAATGATTAAAAGATTATAAAAAATATAAGCTGTATTGAATGAGGCTCACTGAGAAACTCAACCGTTGCTCGGAGGGTGAGACAATAAGTTACTACTGCTGAAAACAACAAACAAGACGACAGGAAGTGGTAGCAGGAGGATGGTTTGGTTTGGGGGTTTTTTTCAGACAATGTGCGGCTAAAGCTCTCACAGCATCGGAACGTTCATAAAAGGTTGTGTGTCATTCAAATGTATTGAGTCCATAGCTTTGATGTAAAATCACAGACTACAATTCACACAAAACACTGTAAAATTAGCCATTCCAAGTATAAGGGGCTCATCGCTCCAATGCCTGAATAAGTCGCCAACCTAATTATCAGTATATCACATGCAACTGTTTATATCCATGGTTGCCATGATTTTTAGTAACTTATTTTTTGTGAATAAGCTTATTCAAGTGTGATTTTAATTTAATTTCTTATTTAATAGAAACACTGCAATTTCAAAATTGAGTTTTTTCAACATTAAAAATGTCAGAGCATAAGATGAAGGGATCTGCTGTGGGTATAAAGCATAAAGCAAAATCTCAACAGAAAAGCAAAAGATGAAATTGTAAGACACGTGAATGAATTTGACATTTTAAGGCATCCTGTGGTTTTATCTGGGATTATAAATGTGTATTGACATGATAGAGCTCTGGAAGAATCCCCTGCAGGACGATGAGACCCAAGCTTAGACTGAACACAAGGATGAAGGGTGCTGCCACACAGAATCTACAGTAAGACTTTACTATATTTAGCAAACAACATGGGGGGATGGTGGAGGCTCATGACTGAGTGTTTGACCAGAGGAGGAGTGTGTCTGTAGTATCTGTGCATAAACATAATTACGAGTACAAAGCTGCTGAAGAGGGTGGGGGTGTTGCATGTAATCAAGAGTGCATGCATATGCATGCATTCAAATATTCCTTTAAAAATAACATGCATTCTTATGATCACATTTCTGTCATTCCTGCGTCTGCCACACTCACGTGATGACCAGCGAGGTGGAGAAGAGTAACGTTCCCAGCAGGCCGCGCCGGCAGTCCGCGTTCTTCCTCTGGCGTTGGTGCATCTCACCGCCGCAGTTGTCGCAGCAGCGGCACATGCAGAAGAAGAGCCCCACAACCGGCATGAGGATGGCGAAGAGCAGGCCGACCGCGGCACATATGAGGAAGCCTATCTCATAGTAGATGGCCTGGGGTCAGTGGAAGAATGAGAGGAAAAAGTATGGGAATTATCTTAAAAGAAACAAGGAGGAAATAAAATAACGTATTGGGAGAGTTTGGAAGGGAGGAACCGAAGAAAGGAGAGATTAATGAAGGCAGAACAGAGGAGAAGGAAGGACACACAAGGAGGCCAAGGATAAAGAGAGCAACAAATCTAAAAATATCTGGAAGACCCCAGGGGTGTAAAAACTCCTGTCCATTGGACATGTACATAAACAAAGAACACGATGCATCACATGTAGATATTCCAAGTTAATTTGATTCTTATTTTTAAATTATCTCTTGCTAACATGCTAAAATGGGACAACCAACCTCAGACTCTATGATAACAGATTCAATATTTCAGAAAAATCAGAAATATTGTCAAAAAAACCCCGAAAACTCAATAAGCCCTAATTAATCAGCCAGAGATTGCATTTGGATCATTTTCCTCTGTATTGGTTCTGATTGGTGGTCAGTAGGACAAGTACATGAAAATAAGATTTTTTTATTCATGTGCCTTAAATACATCAGAGTTAAGAAGTTACATCATCAACCAACAGTGAGTACAAAGGGTTTTTTGTTTAATAATATAAATGCATAGTACAAAGATAATTACTTTAAGGCTGCATTTCTGATGAAAATCTGACTCAAGAGGAATTTGTTCTAAGGTAGGAAATCATTGTGAAGCAGATCTTTGGACTGAGCCTGAATTACAAAAACAGGTTTTATTTTTCTTAAAATATAACAAATGCACCCAGAACTGAGATGATTACCTGTTTCACTGAGATTAAACTGAGAAAGGTTGAATTGAATAATAATATTATTATACACAGTAGAAGTCAAGAGGCCATGAAAAACCTGCAATTATTGTCTACGAGTGAAAATTTCTATATTTTTTGTTCATGAATGAAATTTAATGAATTTGTTCAAAACATTAAACCTGCAGCTCTGAGGCTGAGATAGAAACTTAACTATAAAAACCTGCTTGTATTCAATTAGAATGAGCATTTTATCAAATATATAGCTGATTTGAACAAAAAGTATTCGCCTGAAGATATTTGACACTTATTAAGCAGTTATAAAAGTTTATCTCCTGCGTCACAGAATGGGATTATTTCTACAATGAAAAAGAGCAAAACTGGGTCGAAACTGAGAACATTTGGTTCAGATTCTTCAGCAGGAGACATCTCCAAACCTCAACAAGAAGCATGAGACAAGATCAACAGCTGCCTCCAGAAGTGACCCAGAAACCAAAATAATATGCAAAAAGTTCTCATTGTCTGTGATGGGGCAGTGAATGTGCTGCATTGCTTCTGCAGTGCAAAGAGAACGAATGAAAGCTGCTTCACAAATGACAGCGTCAGAAATAACCAAGAGAATACTCTCATTAATCACAGATGTTAACAAAGTTTAATCAAAATGAATGCTATGACAGAAAATTAATTTTTTTGAAATAACTTTTTAATCTACATTTTAAAACCAGAAAACAGCATATTCCTAGTATTAATCTTATTACACAGTAGGGGAAGAACAATGTATTATAATCTATATGTGTAGGACTCTGTCCTGTCTTTATGTGGTCACCTAGGAAACAGACATATCTCTCTACACAAAGCCTTGGTAATCCCAGGATCCATCTGAATGCCATAAATATGCAGGTTGACTAAACTGCTGCTGCTGAAATGTCCTGTGTATCTTCTGTCTCGTTTTATCTGAATTTCCACAGGAGTCGGTCCTATTAAATCTGCATTCATCAAAGGATTTGGAATTTGACAAAACCTTAAAGGCTGTTAGTAATCCCTCCCAGCAAATGTAACTTTAGTATCATGGTTTTTGCCTGTCTTGTATGAAAAGATCAGAGTATGACTCTCAGTGGTCCCGAATGGCTGAACAGGTCTTCCTCTCTGATCTGCACTAATCTGGAATAGCTTCTGAACTTGGCTCAGAAATATTCTTCTGTTCTTCAGGACATATTTGTGCAAAATAGTATACACTTTGAAAGTAAGAGCTTTTTAAAAGCCTGCATTAAAAAGCAACTGCTGGTATTAAAAGTCTGATTATGTTTTTTTTTTTTTTCCTGATCTGAAGTTATAACAGTGTGGAGGATTGCAGCATCAAATCTTACAAAAAAGAAACTGGACAGACTAATGTTGGTAGGAAGAGAAGGAGAATAAGGCAGGAGGCGTAAGCAAGTTTAAATGTATGTGAGTCATTTAAAAGCCCCAACGTCAACCTGCTGTTGGGGACATCGTAGAAATTTAAATGTCCGCACTGTCATTGTGCTTCTGGGCACTGCTTGTTATTGGGTGAATCCTCACAAAAAAGGTCAGCCATGTATATATATATGTTTTCTTTCCACCAAATCTCTTAGAGTGCCTGCAGCTCAGACTATTTCTGGGCTCCAGTTTGGTCTTGGCAAGTGCCCAAAAGAAAAAGACGCCGTTCTAATAAGAACAAAGGGGATGATGAGGTGGCGACATGTCGTACTGATGAAGATGATGTAAGTTTGATTAACTCTAGTGCTGGCAGCAAACATTAGACCTGCTAATAACCTGCCTAATGTGACTCTAAATTTAATAACTTTAAGTCATTACTTGATATATTCCAGTCCGCTAATGGGGAAAACGTTTATTTTAGTGTTAGGTAAATCGTATTATTATCAAATGTTGTTATACTTTTATAATATTCTTGCTTTAGGTACTCTTATTTGTTTAATCATATCTTTTTGGAATGTTGCTGTATTGTTAAATTACCCCTATTCCTTTCTCAGAAGGCCTCTCTGAAGAAGAGCTTTCTGCAGTAATCATTCAGTGGAACGTCCTGCCTTTGACCTGTTATTCAGCTGTAAAACCATCGCTGTGAAGACGTACAACTTGCTCTGTTTGATCCTGGGTCGGGAACTGGATAATCTAGTGCAAGATAGATTTTGTTGCTAGTTAGTGATAGTCTTTGGCACTGTAACTATGTGATGAAGTGTTTTTTCCCCCTCCCTTTAGAGTTACAGCGCTCTCTGTGATTAGGGATCCTAAAGACAATAAAAAGAGAGAAGCAGGAAAATGTGCTTTCAAAGCGGTAGGAGATTTGTAACTGAAAGCACATCTCTGTCTGTTCTCTTCGAGAGTATTCAGAATCTAACTTTCTCTTGTCTTTCCTGTGTTATTTAATCTGGGTTAATAGGTGTCAACTCTGGCATTTAGCATCTTTTGTTTCTATGTCAGCTTGGTTTGTTGTTATGGGCAAAAGCACCGGATCAATGGACCAAAGTCAGGGATCAAATACATCGATTTACTGCACTTTACTTGTGACTCAAAGTCATTTACTTTTCTTTTATAATCAAAATGTTACCTTAATTTAACTTCCATGGAGGTGAAAGGTAAAGGGAGTGGATTTGAATGATCTCAGTTCATCTCACATATAAATCAGTCAGAACTCAGTAAAGAACTTCATACAATGAGTCCAGGGAGGCTGATCAGACTTTTTATTTTACTTTCATCTTAACTTCTTATTTTTTGGTTTTATTTTATTGCCTACATTTGTCTGTCAATTTGCTGCTGGTAAACTTGAATTTCACCATTGAGGGACAATAATATTCCATTTTCAGGCAAATTTGTATTTGTGCAGAAATCAACAAGTCTTTGTTGATTTAATTTGAAAGAAAATGCTTCAGTTAGTTTTTCAAATCCAATAAAATATAAACTTATTATGAGGCCTTTTGCACATATTGACCATGAGTGGCTTGTACTGTAAATGTGCTCAAACTGCTGATGTTAAAATACTGGATTATTTTACATGACACTTATTACAACAAAATATCAACTATGCGTAACTAAAAGGGAGCAAAAGGTCCTGATTTTAGTACTGTCAACATGCAACCAATTCAAAACTGAAGGCAATAATCAGGTAAAAAGAAAAAACAAATCAAAAATCTGAATTACCATGTTATTATTAAGCACTGTTGTTCTTTCTGTGATCTAAAAAGCATTTCTCCTTCTGAGAATATGCTTTTAAAAGAGAAGGATATGACAAACTGAAGGATGTGGTTGGAGGAAAATGGGATGGCAGCATGAAAGTCACAGGGCTACACAACTAATCACTGGTGTAATTTATCAAATAATGATTTGGAATGGAGTTCTGAACAAGTTAAGATACCTTTCTCAGCTGTAATTGTGCCACCCTGGTGACTTACAGAAGCATAGTTAGACTGAATATGGTTGGACTGTAAGTCCAGAGTGTGGACTTTACCTGCAGTGTCAGCACTATGTTCTCTGGCTGGGGGAAGCCAGACGAGATGAAGAGGACATGCAGAAGACACGGCAATGCAGCGTCAGAAAAAGAGCAAAGCCACAAAACACAAATATGAGATGAAAACGACCAATAGGAAATGAAATCAAAGCAGGCATGCAAAAACTTATTGTAACAAAACACAAAAACAGTGAAAAAGGCTTTTTAGTTCATTTAAATTTTATTCTTTTCCAGGGTCAAAATTATTTTATATACAGAAAATTCGCGCCCAAATAGAAGTGTTTACCAGAAAAAGGTTGTGTTGCCTATAGGCTAATAAAAGGTTGTGCATTGGAGTATTACCATCATTAATCAATAGTAAACCCTGAGAACAGACCTCATCTGTCCTGCTTCAATATGGCAACATGGCTCTTTTTACACCGTAACTGAATGTTGGATCACAGAGTATCCCAGAGAAATATATATATTTTTTGTATTTGTTTACAGTTTTCATAAAATATGTAACATCCAGATGAAGACATGGTTATTTCGCTCTCTTTCACTCACTCACCTTTTGGTATTCTGTTTGAATGGCTCCAAACTTGTCCTTTGCCAGCTTCACAATAAGATCTGTAGGCAGAGAGGACAAGAAAAACAATCTTATTTTCCAGAAAATAACAGGAATAATGATTCACTCTCTTGTCTAACAATTTGTCTAAAAACTCATCCATAACTTAACTATATTCAGTTTAAACAGGTATGCCTCCATGGTTTTCTTATTTTCTATAATTTCTTGTGAGTTCCTTTCATCATTTAGTCTCTTTTCTGTACATTAATCCAGTAGCACAAGGACAGCTTGGTGTGGAGTTAAAGTCTGGAACCAAAAAACATCAACGTAAATTTCGAATTTACCGTAGTGACCTGTTTGGGTCTACATTTTCTCATCTCATCAGTCTTGAACCAGTCTGCAGATCCTGAAGTAATCAGGATGTCATATTTAACTATATAACAATTTAATTGTTATTGCCCAGGCTTATATATAAAAATAAAAAAGTGATGTGTGTCTCTATCATAAGACATTTGATAAGACATTGAGGGAGATCATGAAAAGGCAAAGTTTTTAATGAACCTCTGGAATGATGGTATGATGCATACTTTATTTTGCATAAAAGTAAAAATATGAACTTTTGCATAATCTCTCTGCTTTGTTTTATAATTTTTTTACTCTAAATAAAACACAAAAATAAAGACGACTTAACCAGTCTGCTGTTAGCCAAGTCAAGCGACTTTCTATCTTTCACTCAGTGTCATTTGGGAAATACATTTGCTCCTGTGTCAAGTAGTTGTGATTCCCAAACTTTTAGTGGCAAAAAACTGGAGCCCCACCCTGTGCATGAACAAAGAAAATGTTGATGACTGCCATCTGTATGTTGTGAGCAGAAAATAGACCAAATGCATCTAAGAAATAAGTACAAAGACGTCCATAAAGTAAATATAAACATATAAAAAAATAGATGCTCAGTGTTACTGTGGAAGATAAATAATCCCTAAGCAGTTCAAGAAAAAAGCACAAGTAAGACAAAGATTTGTTTTATAGTTGTAAGTCAATTACTATATTAAAATGACAAAAATAAACAACAACAAAAACTATATTTTGACAAAGCTGGGATTTAGGTGGTTAAGAAAAACCCCTATAACCAATATATAATATGTCTGTGGCTGTTTTCTGTGTGTAAGAGACACAACTTTAAAAGACAATTCAGGGATCCCAGAGGGTTATGGGTGCAATACACATTTATGGTTGATAAAATGTGCAACAGGTATTATATAGCTAGAGATAGTGCCTTGTTCTTGGGTGTGGAATAAAGAAAGTGGTGAGGCTGAAGACAAGAAAAAAAAAGAAGACAACATTGAATCAGAACCTTCTGAGAATGTGCAGAGAAAACCAAGACAGGGAGCAAAGGCTGCAGTGAGAGAGAAACACTGAGCAACAACCAAAAGAGACATTCAACCCCACCTGTTGGCAGGAATAATACACAAAGCACAGAGAGATGAGAGATTGTGTCCTCTTTCTTGTTTACTGGTGGGGAAAATGACATGATGCAGCATGTTCTTAAAGCTGTATGCAAATCAACCCAGAAGTTTCAAAAATACTTTTTTTTTTACTTTCAATTTTACATAGCATCCAAACACAGTTGTGAGCTTTCCTCATACAGGTGTGCAGCAACAATAATTGAGTTAAGAGCCATTAAGAGGTTCAAAGTGCCTCAGGTTGCAGAGGCTGGCCTGCACAGTACAGTGACTGTCAGGAAGTTACAGTCAAAGCAACAAGAAGCTATGCATCTCCTCAGAGGTGTGAGGAGTAAGCATTTAACAGACCATTTCAGCTTTTATCTTCTCTACATTCTAAAGTGGTGGACAGGCACAGCTTCAGTTTGTTCCATCTGGTTCCTCCAAGTTATCATATTTCATCACATTTGTAAGGTTCGTGACTGTGGACACCCACTGATAATAACAAGCTAGATTTGCTCTTGGATCTTTGCTGCTGTGCAAACATTGGTTAAAGTAAAATAAAAAGGATAAAATCTGAACACTTCAGCTGTATTTAATTGGATTTTAGAACAAGGGAATCCACAGAAAACATCAGAAACGCCACAAATGATTCCATCACATATCAAACTCTCTGTTTCTGTTCCCTTTCATTTGTTCACCTGGAGCAGCGCTGACTGTGACTCATCACACGATGATGATAGAAAAAGCAGCACTTTCAAGAAAGATGCAAGAGATATAAAAGTTTTTCTTTATCTGCAGTGTGCTGTTTGTTTTTCCTGAAGATAAAGTACAGAACAAGCTGTTACAGAGTGATTTTAATTGATATAACAATAACAAACCTCTGAACTGTACATATGTTTAAAGAAAAAAAATATATATATATAAAAAGGTTCATCATTCACCCAGTTGTTATGGATGTATAAGACAAACCTTTTTTCAGTACGTTGTATCTCATTGCCTTGTTTCAAACAGAATTATTTGACCCAGTCCTTCCTGTGCTTGATGCTTTTACAGTTCTGTTCAGTGTGACTGTTTGTCCCTCCCAGAACAGAAGTTTTCCTGTGTCCTTACTGTAATCCAACATCTGAGCTATGTGGTGTTTGTTCTTGATTAAATTTTCCCACCAAGATCAGAAACACAACCCCACTTTCCAGGTCAGTTTGTCCGTGTGTTCTGGATCGGCTCCTCCGCCCCAAAATGGCTGCCAGCAGTCCCTATTGTGCGTTTCTGGGCGAAGTGTCACATGATCCAGCTTTTCCGAGGACATTAGGTACAATGAGTTTCCAACCAGACCTTGGGCTTAGGGTGTGTTTTTATTCCATTCATCATGGGGAGGACACAGACTGTAACCTCTGTATGATAGCAAACAAAAGCTTGAATGGCTGAATGCTGGAAAAACTCTCTTAACAGGAAAAATTAGGGCATCAGTTTCTGAAACCCTCTGTAAATGAAAAGGTGAGATCAGATGACATTTCAGATCAAAAATAGAAGGAGAGGATCAGTAACGCTGCCTGTTGTTATTCAGATAATAACTAGTTTTCATAAATGGTGCAACAGGCACCACAGCAAAGTACAGCTTATCTTGTCTTTGTTTTTCTGAACAGTGGGCGCTACGATGCTGGTCAGTCATCAGTTATTAAGGTTTTCCCAATGAAATTAAGATCTATACATGTGAACAGACTTTAAAGGAAAATCCAGAAAATGTTGCTGGTTAAGGATTAGAAAAGAATTATGCTTAAAATACTGCAAGAACAAATGTTTTTTATTAACTAAGTGAAGGCAGCATTACTTTGTCATGACCTAATTTGTATCCAATAACAGAAGTTAAGACAGCATATCTGACATAAGTTATCACAATGAAATCAGTGCTGCAACAAGATAAGAAACCAAAAGAAGCCATGATAAATAGCAGGGAGGAAGGAAATGTAAAAAAATGAGGGAGTTAATGAATGTTAAGAACAACATCTAGGGAAAAGAGTGGAAGTGAATCCAGTCTCTGTTTCTTACGAGGAGTCTAATCCTCCTTTATGAACAAAAAGCTTAATGTTTTTTTCCACCCACATTACTCCTCTCTCCACTCTTTACACCAGTGCCTGTCCTTTAAAAACCACATTAAAGTATTTGTCAGGATGAACTGGCCTTTAAAAGCTTCAAAAAACAAACCTGTCACATGAAAGATGTACACAGGCTTCAGCAGCCTGCCCTGCTGTCTGTGAACTGTATTCCTTTGGGAAAATGCATACATCAAATTGAAATGTATGAGGCACATTCATGTAAATAAATTGTGGTAGCTACTTTCAGGAGTCTGAGCTTTAAATGAACTCATGGCATAGCTCTCCAAACAGATTTAATGAAGCTTTGCAAGCAGCTCAAGATAAAGCAGAACCTGGCAAGATGAATTTTTCATCAGTTTTCACTAGAAGGGAGTCACCCACCCAGAGGAATGCAGCAGCTCCTCATCTATCTGCTCCTCACGGTTGGAAACAGCAGAGGAAAAAATTGGACAGCCAACAACAGTAGGAATGCTGAACATACTGAACTCCGTCTTGGACCAACACTTTAATCTCACCAGGCTGGGCTGTTTAATCTTGCAGCTGCAAGATGACATTTTGATTTGCAGAATAACTTTTAAATCAGCCAGAAGTCTGATCCAGGTACTTTTAAATACAAGATGAAGTCAGTTGGTTTATTGGACAGGTTTGTGTAAAGCAGAACCAAAATAAGGTGCAAGATAAATATCTTCCCAAACCAAAACACTTAAAAAGGAACATAAAAATGATCAGCATTCACCTGCATTCTACTGCTGACTAAGTTTTTTCCTATCAGAATCTTATAATTTAATCTCCAGTAAAGATGGTATTGATGGTTGCAGTGATTAACTATTCTTAGTAAACTTATTTAAGAAGATTTTCTTCTTTTTTTTCTGCAATCGAAATGTTTCTATGAAGTTTGGCTCAGATATTATTGTTATGTTACTGTAGGTTAAACCGAATGACTGAATGTTGGTTAATCCTGTCAGGAACCTGACTGGGTGTCCCAGGATAAAGAGGCGATTAGTGTCATGGATGAAATCATCTGTTTAAGACTGTAACTTTATGTGCAGAAAAGGGCTTTGGACATGGGAATAACCGCCATTATAACCAGCGATTTATAGTATTTCTCTATAACATGCTAATAGTCAGCTGAGAGGAAATATTCTTTTGACAACTAAGAAGTATTTATCTTTACAAGGTTGCTCATGTTGGCTCTGGAATCATTAGCTATCTTATGTTATAGGAGATGACTGACCTGATTCAGAATTATGACAACAATCCAAAATAAAAATAGTCGGTTTGTATGAAATGGCAGCATGGCAGTATATTCTGTATGAACTACAGAATGATAAGACTGGGCTTCGTAATTGCTGTGGTTTAGGCACAATTAGCTTTTCAGAAAAATCGTAGAACACAAACATTGTAAAGTTAATGACCCTGACAAACAAAAGGTTTTTGTTGCTTCTGGAATATTACCGCACTAAATCATTAGTTTTGCTAATGATTTGGTGCAGTAATATTCCAGAAGCAGTTTGCAGGTTGAGG